AACTTTCTCAGTATCTAGTACATACTCCTTCCTCTGTCAACAGAAGTTGTATCAGTTAGACATCCCAGGTTGCAGCTCCCTCAATGGTCAATCATTAAGCAAGGCCACTCAGAGGTTATGGAAGCTGAAGATAGAGAACAAAATCAAAATCTTCATTTGGAAGTGTATAACCAACTCACTGTGTGAAGACCAATCTTAGAAAGTGGGGTATGGATATTGATGTTATCTGCCACTTTTGTGGGGCTGCTGCTGAAACTGCTAACCATGTTCTCTTTCACTGCCCAAGAGCGAACAGTGCATGGCAATACTCTCCAGTCTCATGGGACTCAAATCATATGGTGGACTCATCTTTTAGCTGCTGGTGGAAGTTTATATGCTCGGTTGGAAAGGCAGGAACATCAGAGGATAGAATTCAATTGACAACATACATCCTCTGGTGGCTCTGGAAGACTCGCAACCTCAGCTTATTTCAAGAAGTTCAAATGCCAGTGCATATGGTGATCAAAGCTGCACTGACCAACTGGCTGGAATTCTCTAGCCTCTAGTTTGCATTGTCTGTTATTATTTTTGGTTCTCTTGATCTATGTACTGTAGCCTTTTGTGTAGTTTCTATGTTTTCTTTTCGGTTTGGCCTTGGCTTTATCTTTAGGCTTTGGCAGTGGAGGTAGAGCTAAGGCCTTTGTTTCTCTTTGTTTATTTTCTTCCTTGTTGAGGTTCTAGGCCGCTATATGCGTGTCCTCTCATTTTTCTTTTCCGGTTTGGCTTGTATTATTCGAACATGGTTCGCTTGAGTTTTTTATTTATAGAACCCCTATCGTTTCGTAAAAAAAAAATATATAAATATGATTAATTTTCATTAAACAATTCCTCTTTAAGAAAAAAGTGGCGGGACAAATTTCTGCATGATTATAGCATCAAAACATGTCTAGAACATCAATATTTTAATGCATTAAAAATCATACTTTCAGCAACAGAAAAATCATATTAAACGGAAATTGGCAAAGTCAAAGAATGATGATTGACAAGACATTATATGTAATGGCAGATTGTTGCATAATATAGAAATATCAAACATAATTAATAATCAACAAAAAAAAAGTCAAATTTATATGAAAAAATCAAAATAAAAAACACAGCAAATTATGTGGAACATTATTGGACACTATACGATATAGAAAGAAAAATAATTTGATTTCCCTATCATTATCAACACATTCAACTTTTTCCAACACATCTCCCTATCATTATCAACACATTCAACTTTTACCAACACATTCAACTTTTAAACATTAAACAAGAAATTCCTAATATGCGATAAATATATCTAAATAGATTTGTTATAAACTTACCTAATATTTCCAAATTCTGAACAAAGTACTAAAAACTTTGAAAAATTTCGGCAAAAGACTTTGGACAACTTCGAAAAGCTATTTTGAACAAGTTTTAGCAAAGCTTCACTTACAAAATGCATAAAAGTTACATATGTATGTTATAAACAGATATGAACAGATATGTTATAAACTTACCTATATATTTGTTAGTAGAGCTGAACAGATCTGTTAGAAACTTACTTATTTTTTCAAACCCTCAACAAAATACATAAAAGTTTGATAAAGTTCGACCAATGTCATGTTCTCTTCGAAAAACGATTTCGAAAAACATCTAAATAATTTTGAATTATGTATAAAATATGATATATATTTGAAGCTTATTTACAAAGATTTTCGAAAAACGACACAGATCATTGAAAATAATAAAAACTAAAAACTATATTAACAAAAAATATTTCAGCTCTTCACAGATTTTTGTAATATTATCGCCCGATTTTGACCGACCTGTTAAGATTTAGCAACAGAGATTAAGAAATCGGGACGAATATTTATTTTTCGATCACTACTGTTAGCCACAAAACAACATTTCTCTGATGTTTTTTTTTTTTAATTTTTTAAGCCTTTACCGGGAGAAAATCTCTGATAAAACATTTGTTTTGTATTGAATCTCGTCGAGTTTGTCGTAAGATCGGGTTAAGGATTATGGTATCAGACAGAGTGAATAACGAGAGAAGCGCCGACATCAAACAAAAAAAAATGGCTTACATCACTCTCAAGGGGTTTATCTCTATTTATAGTCATGTTATCATTGACCTGTTTTATATTTGATTTTGGCTACCCTAAAAAATTAAGTGGACTTCTAATTTGGGCTTTTTTTTATCATTCAATCAATATATTTCTTTATGGCCCAAAAATTGCCATTTTGTTCAAATGTCTTAAATATTTGGCACATATCATTATTTATCAACCAAATACAATTATTTATTTTGTAATATTTTGTTGGTATTTTTTTAGTTTTTTTTTTTTTAATTTCCTATATGATCTATAGTACAAAATAGAATAATTATTTAAAAAATAAAACCATTATATGTCTTAATTTGAAAATAGTGATTTGTATGGATGGAAATTCTATTGATAGAAAAACCACAAACGTTGTATATAAAGAATTGTTTAATAATATTTAGTTATTCTTTCTTTGAACATTTTTCAATGATTATATTATGATTTTTTCTATTGTTTATATCTTTTTATTATTTTTTGTTCTATTATATTGCTTTCCGTGCAAATGCACGGGTTAAAACTAGTAAGCAAATCTAATTTCGCATTATTGAACAAAAATATAGTATGCAAAATGTAAATTTTATTATTTTATTTTTTTTGGGTGTGGATTTCTTTGTATAATACCAAGTAATTACCACTTTTTGAATTTTCTCTTATGGGAGCGACGGTTCTCTCTTTGAGAGGTGAATGTTGATTCTTTCACTGAAAGTTGGATTCTTCTGGTTCAAGAGAGGGCCGGTGAATTTGAACAAAAGGAAAAGAAGTGTGTCGTTTTCTCATAATGGCATCAAAATTGGGTGACGAAGAGAAGGGTAGAAGGATAGTTGAGGAAATGGCACAAAAGATGAAGAATTTTTTCCTTTCTGGAGCCGAGAATCTAGTAATTGACATAGGCGTAGAGGACATTAAAGCAAGCGCGGAGGAATGCAGTCCGAGTTTTGTGGAAAAAGTGGTAGGTAATCGACGAACATCGCTGTTAGGGCTACGAAGGACGATGGCATCAATTTGGAGAATCCAACAACCTCTTGAGGTAAGGAAACTTAGCCCTTTTTTTTTAATTCATATTTGAGAATAGGGCGGATTTGAAGAAGGTTATGTTGGGCACAAAGTGGATTTTGGAGAATCAATTTCCGATCCTCCAAGAGTGGAGGAAAGGAATAAGTGAGAAAGATGTTTGTTTTGCATAACTGAATCTTTGGGTTCACATATTCAATGTCCCTTTAGAATGAATGTGTTCAAAACTAGGGTTGAAAGTTGGAAAAGTTTTTAGAATGGATGTTGTTATGTTTTTGGTTGGTACTTGTATATTTGTTTTCGAATATTTTTCACGGTGGGAATTGGCTCAACTAACCTCTTCTACATCACATTTTGTTTAAATGACCTTTGACTCAAATTTTACAAATAAAATTTAACAAATAATCATATTAAATAGACATTTACACATATACCCTCAACACAAAATAAACCCCCCTTTCCACCCTCCTTCCTTCCCAATCTCTCTCTCACCCTCATTTTTTTTTCTGCAACTCCTCGCTCTCTCGTGCTCTCTCTCGCTCTTTTTCTCTCTGCTTTTCTTCAACAATTTTTCGTGGACAATCACTATGGAACTTTCTCTCGTCAATCCCGGTACGAATTTTTTCGATTTTTGTCAATTTGTTCTTTGTTTGGTCCTTTGATATTGGTGGAGCAAGTTTGATTGTTCTATGTGAATTCATCTTATTTTGCTAGTTTTGATGGAATTGAAGATGATAATTTGTGCACTCAATGTGTTTGATGAAATGCTTGTAGAATTGAGTTAATGAAGTAAGATAGTAATTTGTGCACTCTATGTGTTTGATGAAATGCTCGCTATGCTAGTTGTTGTATACTTGGAACCATTAAAAATCACTTAAATTGTAACTATATTGAAGGTATAGGTGTACTTAATCGACTGGGATAGAAATATAACCATAACGAATGTACTCTCGTTATGGTTATTTCGATGGAATGACGTGTTAACGATTCTATCTTCATTATATATGACATTAGGACGATATTCTAAACTCGTTATAGTGTCGATATTTTAGGACGATATTCTATCTTCGATGGAATGATGTGTTAACGATTCTATCTTCGTTATATATGACATTAGAACGAAGGTAGAATCGTTATAGTTGTATTCGATCTACAAGATTGTCACTCATCTAAATAGTAACTTCACTTTGCACAATCTTTATCTAAATTATGTGTATGTATTTTATCCTTCATATTAATTAGTGATTGTTTAATTAGTATCTAATAATTTACTCCAAAGTCCAGATTTCATATGTTTAGGTGTGTGATAAGATTGTGCCAATGAATTTTTAGCTTCACTAGTCTACAATAACTTGAGGAATTTTTCTGTTTTCTGCTTTCAAGAATGACATGATAAATTTGCATGAAAATAAAATAAAATAATAAGGCTTGTTGACAGGGGGATTAGAGCACCCATGGGTACATCTAAAATGTAGCTCTCAACTCTTGGTTTTCAGTCTTTACATTTCAATGAAGTATGCAATTTTGTTACTATATTTTTATTCACCTAACTAGAGATGTTAATTAGACTCGCACTAACAGTTTTGCAAGAGTAAAAACGATCTAAGTTAAAAGGGCTAGCAATATACAGAACAAAAGGAGTAACTCTATCATTTTTTTAATAATTAAAAACTAAACATGAAAACAATTTATACAATGAAATACGTAGTTGAGTAATATATATTGAACAAAATAAGTAAAACTATTTTTCTTCCTATAACAAGACAGATATAGGTATAATTTTTTTTTTTTGTATTAATATTAATAAAATGAGTTGTCTTTCTGATGAGTTTTCTTTAATTGAGTTGTCTTTCTTTTCTTCTTTTAGGAACGGAAATGGAGTTAGCGTTCGATATACCTTCGTCATGCTCAGGAGTCGTGACCAATAGGTGCAACCTCAAGGTTGCCGATCATGTATTTAAGAATCTAGATGATGGACATAAAGCTCTATTTGTGAAATCATGCTTCTGGCCACTAGTGCGCATTCCCAATTTGAAATTGGCGTCTCAAATAATCCACCACCTTCTTCAAAGGACCTTGAAATTATGCGAGAACGAAAAAGACGCCGTTTGGTTCAAATTTGGAGAAAGAAAAGCTAGATTCGGGTTACAAGAATTTTCTCTTGTAAGCGGATTCAAGATTGTGCATGATGTGGCTTCGTACGAGGTCCCGGAAAGAAGTAGTTCGCTTTTGTATTTATTCAAAAGGAAGCGAGGGAAGCTAACAAAGAAAGACTTGCTCAATAAATTTGATGATTTGGTAAAGGAGGAAGATGCAAATTTGATATTCAAATTGGGGCTTCTCACGATCCTGGAGCATGTGGTTTTGTCTAACGAGTGCCGGACTCTTGTGGATGAAAAATGGTTTCATCTCGTTGAAAATTTGGAGGAGTTCAATAGCTATCCTTGGGGGAACTTGTCATACGAGTACACCGTAAAGTTGTTCAAGCGAAAGAGGTTTGATATTAAAAAAAAATACAGAGATGAAGTATTCTTTGCATGGATTTCCCCTAGCTATCATGGTATTTTTCATATAAATATATATTTATGCTCTTTTTTTATTATTTATGTTAGTTGTATTCTTAATTTTTTTTCGTTGTTTGCTAAGTAGGTTTGGGCATTTGAGGCACTGCCTGAGCTTGGAAGAAAATTTTCTGAAACTTGTGGTGGGTGTGCCAGACTTCCGAGAATTTTGTCTTGGAAAATGAAAAAACAGTGGCGAAGCGAGCAACTTAGTACGTTTTTCAACACGTCGGAGGTAATTTTTGTTATGGATAATTCATCTTATTTATTCTTATAGTTTTGAAAAAAACTAATTATGCTATAATCAGGTTGAAGTTCAACGAACATTACAACCTTCAAGGGATGAAGTTCAAACTTCATACTTGATAGAATTCCGTATTGTCCCTGAAGATGAGGAAGAAGAAGAAGAAGAAGAAGAAGAAGAAGAAGAAGAAGAAGAAGAAGCGAACATTACAACCTTCAAGGGATGAAGTTCAAACTTCATACTTGAAGGAATTCCGTATTGTCCCTGAAGATGAGGAAGAAGAAGAAGAAGAAGAAGCAGTTTTTTGTTTAAATATATACCCTAACTTTAGTTTCACGACAGATCTTACTCTCTCTCTCTACACACCTCCATACAGTTTTCACGCATAGAATCCTTTTTTTCTTTTTTTTTATTCGTTAGGCTTCGTTCTCAAACTCCGTCCAGTTTTCACGCATAGAATCCTTTTTTTCTTTTTTTTTATTCGTTAGGCTTCGTTCTCAAAATTTCTGATTGATTTTTGCAGATGATAAGCGAAGAAGAAGAAGAAGAAGAAGAAGAAGAAGAAGAAGAAGAAGAAGAAGAAGAAGAAGAAGAGGAAGAAGAAGAAGAGGAAGAAGAAGAAGAAGAATGATGCATCTCAGTCTGATCCGCCACAATCGCAAGTTTTTGGTGCTGAAAAGATTTCAGCTATAGTCAAGAAGTTTGTGAAGGATGAGATTAGATTATTTTCTTTGCAAATGGAAATGAAGATGGACATGTTTTTTGAGCGAATGGAAATGAAGATGGACAAGTTTTTTGAGCGAATAACAGATTTAGTTTTTCAGTCAAAAGATAGTCCATCTACCCGTGCTACTTATGACGGGACAAATGTTGATACGGAGACCGCTCGAATAGTAGATGGTGTGGAAGGTATTCTTTTAAAATAGATGCATCATATTAATGTTATTACTCGAGTATTAAAAAAATAAATAGAACAAGTTATTGTAATATTTTTTTTACATAAAGATATATTTTAAAACAAATGCAACATATTGTTGAATTACATAATTTTTTTGTTTTCTTTTGCAGACACGATCAATTCACCATCTCCCATGCCCGAGAAAGAAAAGGTGGGAGTTCATGATGACGTGGGCTTGGAAATGAGGGCAAAAGATAAAGTTGTCTTGGTCAAAGACAAATTTTCTGAGGAGGCTGTCTCACCAAAGAAGAATGAACATGGATTCGATACCGGTATGTAAAATGTAATTGTAGTTATACGTAGTTTGATAGTTTATTCTTTCTAATAAATGAGTATTGATTGTTTTCTTGCATATTGTAGGTGTTGTGACTGACCCGTCATCAATGATGTTCCAAGAACGACCTATGGAGATCGAGGAAACCGATGAAGATGATGCACTCGAGTCTCCTAAGGGAAGAGGGCACGGGAAGAAAAGAAAGGCCGCCGTCCTACTTACTCCGTGGAGGAATCCCGTAAAAAGACAAAAAATTCCAAATGTGACGGAGTACGACCATCATAGGACAGTGGATGAAGCTAAACTTGAGGATTTAAGGCGGTGGTTGGCGAACTCCCCTGAAAGGTATTTTTGTGTTAAGTTAATTGTGGGCTACTCATTCTAATATATAAGGTTGTCTGTCTTTGTTTAATTTACTCTTTTTTTATGTAGTGATGAAATTGACGTAGCTTGGGGTAACGGTAGCGCAGGGAAATTTTTTTTTAATGACCTTCTGGACAATAAATGGCGTTGTAGTGAAGTGAAGTATTACAATTTTTTTTTTTCGATATTTTACTCTCTAAACATGACATTACTAATCTAATAAACATTATATACTCTTAGCATGTAGATGCAGCCCTTTTTCACATGAGAGGTCGGGCTATACAGTACCCTCTCTTGTTTAGACAAGATTATGCCATCTTAGACCCGCATTTCGTCTCTTATGCGAGAATGTTCTTTAAAAATGCGTCAAAAGTTGAAAGCTTTGATAGGACAAATTTTCCAAAGGCATTAGTTAAGTACGCCGAAGGGAAATTACCCACTCATGCAAAGTCGTAGACTAGTTGTACAATATTGTATGTTCCCTTTTGCACTGAGAATAATGAACATTGGGTAGCACTCGATATTGATCTCTCCGAAAGATGCATTGACGTATATGATAGTTCAACGAGTGTCATGCGGAAGCGACAATTTGAAATGGAATTGGAGCCCATTCGAGTTGTCGTACCTATGCTAATGAGGATGTTGAATGCTACCTACAGTGCAGAAAAATTTGATTTGAAATGATTACCATGTCCTAGCCAAGCAAATGGGTATTTATAACATATATTTTCATCATATCATGATTATAAGTGTATTATCAAACTTGGTAAACTAATAGATATTGTACATTTATATTACAGGTTTGACTGTTGGATGTTTACAATCAAATTCATTGAGTTTTTGCATGCTGGGAAGGATGTTAAAGGCGTAGAGCAAAAAATGATTCCCTCTTGGCGTATCAAACTAGCAGCTGTAATTTTTGCACAACATTTTGATCCTTAGTTTGTTTAAGGAGTTGAATATTCAATGGCTTGTAGGGATGTTTTGGATATCATATTTTGACTGTTGTATTATTTTTTATGTGTTTTTCAGTGCAATGAAACGAGTTGTTAGGTTTTTAAGTTGTTTTTTGACTGGTGTATTGTTATTTCACGTATTTGCCTAATGTATTACCGGCATTTAATTCACCTAATGTATTTCTTGAACAGCTATTATAGAAATTTTGGAATGACTGTAGTCACGGTATAATGCATTATATAATAGAGGTAGTACATTGTTATAGCTACAATTTCAGTCCTGTAGATAAAATAATACATTACATAATGAATAAACCTTCTTTATAATAACATTTTATCAGCCCTTCGCAACTCGATTGAAGGAGTTCGATGCTGAGATCCCGGAATTAAGCCGAGGAACCTTGTACTAATGTTTTTTTTAATTGTTTAAAAAAAAATATATATATATATATATAATCCAGAGTCGCGGCCGCGGAGATCGTCACACCGGCGACATCCTGGCAAGGGTTCTGTCCCCTTCAATGTCGCGACCGCGGTGCTAGTCGCGCCCCCGACATCCTGGCAAGGGTTCTGTCCCGCCCGCGGTGACCCCGTCGCGAGCTTCTGCAGCTTGACATTTCCTGTCGCGGGCGTGACGATCACCGCGGGCGCTACAGAAGCTCGCGACGGCTGTCCTGGGCGCGACGATCAAGCTGTCGCAGGCGTTTTTTATTTTTTTTATTTCTTTAATTTTTGTTCGGTTTTAGGTCGCGACGAAACTCATTTTGAGAAATAACGATACTTGTTTTCTTTCAGAAATGGAAATATCATGAAGTATCGTTGTATTTGATTGAAAAATAACCATAACAAATTTACATTCGTTATGATGTGTGCAATAACCAATGTACATTCGTTATGGTTATTTTGCGATCTAAACACAAACCAAATAATGAATCAAATCCACATTACAATAGAAAAAAGAAAACTGAAAATACAAATGTCGAATCCAAAAGACAATCCAAATCAATAAGAAAATACAAATCCAAAAAAGACAAACCAAATTTATAAGTCAAACCAAATCCAAAAGATAAAACTGATAATTATGAAGTCTGGAATAAAAGTCTTTGCCTAAAAACAACGCACTGTCACTGTGCATCCGTTGCATCCGATGGTGGAGGTAGAGGTGGAGGTGGAGGGTAGGGTAGGCTGCTGCCTGAACTCAAGCGAACGTCCCATTTCTTGAACTGGTCGCCCTATTGTTTCCACTGATCAAATTGTCGATACTCCCATTGGGTCCAACGTTCATCGAGCCTCTTATTGTGCTCCTCCCAATGCCTATCATTATGCTCAATGAAGGTATCGAGCCTCTTGTTGTGCTCCTCCCAACGCCTATCATTATGCTCCATGAAGTTATCGAACCAAGCGGGGGCTTGTTGAGATTGCGCGTCCGGAGCGCCCACATCGACTGGTGGAGGGAGGAAATAGTCCGTCGGGTTGGTCTGTGTTTCTTCGTCCTCTGCCTCGTCCTCGGTATCAGGTGGTGGCTGAGAGGAACTACCTACGTCGGACGATTTTTTCAGCTCTGCCATATATGCCCTGTAGCAACCTCGAAATTTATAATCAATGATCGTGGTGCTGTTTGAAACGAGCTCGGCTTTCGTAAAATCCCACAACACGATCTTCTTCGGTTGAAGCGACACTTCATCAATTTGAACTTTGAAGTGCTTAGCGAGAGCGGTGACGACATTGGCCAATCTCTGAGGGCGGTTGGCGAAGATTTTCGTATCTCGGAGTGTCTCTTTAACAAATGCAGTAATGCATATGGGCTTCTTTGCACACATTGCCGACAAGAGATAAACTTCTTTCTCACTAACCTTGTTGGAGTCTTTCTTGCCAAAAACATTGTAGCGCAGAAATTTATGTACCACTGCAATGGCCACATCTTTGATTAGCCCATTTGATGGGCCCTTTACTTTGAATTTGTGGCATGGAGAGAGAACGGCCCAATTCTTGTGTACGTCAAAATCACCGGGTACTTGGCGAGACCCCATCGTGCGGAAACCAACGAGTGTAATATCTTTGTAAGGGATTATATATCGAGTTTTAGGTGTTTTTGATCGAAATGTACATTCGTTATGGTTCATTTTCGATCAAAAACACCAAAAACTCGATATATAATCCCTTACAAAGATATTACACTCTTTGTAGATACAAGTTTACTCATTTTTCATGTAAAATAAGGAATGTACAAAGATTCTACATGATCCAACCATTTTCCAAAAAAAAAAAAAAAAAAGACAAGTATAGTTATGAGTATTTCCATTTCGTTATGAGTATTTCCATGCTCGAACGGGTCCAAACTATCGTTCAAAGTTGATATATGACCAGGAACAATGTTTTACACGTGATTCCATAAAAAAACAAAAACGGGAGCACTTACGTTGCGATTTGCACCATAACGAATGTACATTCGTTATAACGAATGGTTCATTTTCGATCAAAAACACCAAAAACTCGATATATAATCCATGACAAAGATATTACACTCTTTGTAAATAAAATTTTTACTCATTTTTCATGTAAAATAAGGAATGTACAAAGATTCTACATGATCCATTCATTTTCCAAGAACAAAAAAAAAAGACAAGTATAGTTATGAATATTTCCATTTTGTTATGAGTATTTCCACGCTCGAACGGGTCCAAACTATCGTTCAAAGTTGATATATGACTGGGAACAATGTTTTACACGTGATTCCATAAAAAAACCCAAAACGGGAGCACTTTCGTTGCGATTTGAACCATAACAACTGTACATTCGTTATGGTTCATTTTCGATCAAAAACACTTTAAACGACCGTGCATTCATCATATAATACATTATAAAGATATTAAACTAGTTATAGGTCTAACTTTACTCATTTTTTCATGTAAAATAACGAATTTACAAAGATTTTACATCATCTTTCCATTTTTCAAGAAAATAAAAAATAAAAGAACAAGTACTGTTATTTTAAAAAATAGTTTCGTTGTTAGTGTTTCGACGCTCTAAAAACTTCAAACTATAGATCCAATGACATGTAACATGAATATACAATCGTTATCAAGTAATTTGATCAAAAAAGGCATGAAGAAAGCGCGGTTGTTGTCAAAAAAACTATAACGAATGTACATTCGTTATAACGAATGTACAGTCGTTATGGTTCATTTTCGATTAAAAACACCTTAAACGACCGTGCATTCATCATATAATACATTATAAGGATATTAAACTAGTTATAGGTATAATTTTATTCATTTTTTCATGTAAAATAACGAATTTACAAAGATTTTACATCATCTTTCCATTTTTCAAAAAAAAAAAAATTAAAAAAAATTAAAGAACAAGTATTGTTATTTTAAAAAATAGTTTCGTGTGAGTGTTTCGATGCTCTAAAAACTTCAAACTATAGTTCCATTGACATGTAGCATGGATATACAATCGTCATCAAATAATTCGATCAAAAAAGCCATGAAGAAAGCGTGGTTGTTGTCGGAAAAAACTATAACGAATGTACATTCGTTATAACGAATGTACAGTTATGATGGTTTTTTTGGACACAATCCACCTTAAACGATCGTGTATTCGTCATATAATACATTATAAAAATATTAAACTCGTCATAGGTCTACTTTTAGTCATTTTTAGTGTAAAATAACGAATAAACAACGATTCTACATTATCTATCCATTTTTCAAAAAATAATTAAAAAACGCCCGCGACAACCTGCCTGTCGCGCCCGGGACAAGCCGTCGCGAGCTTCTGCACCTCCATATTTCGTGTCGCACCTGCGACAGTCGCACTGGTCGCGGTCGCGGGACGTGACGCGCCCGTGACATCCTGGACAACTGTCTGTCCAAAAAAGAAAAGCAGAGTGTCGCGCCCGCGACAACCTGGGAAGCTCTCTGCCCTACGGATCTTAACCTCCAGTGTTGCGCCCGTGATAACTATCACGCCCGCGATAGGGACAACGATGATACCTTCGTTGTTTCATACTTGATAACGACTGTACTTTCGTTTTTAGCCTTTTTTATTGTACTACTACTATATAATACTATAAAACGAGACTATAGTCGTTTGTTTCCAAATTGCCTATAACAATTGTTCAATAAGTACATTAGGTGAATCAATTACCCTTAATATTTTCAACAATCTCTACATTGGATACACATAAAAAATTAAACACAAGACAAAATATAATTTCAAACTTTAGCAACTCACTTTAATGAATTGGAGAACACATAAAAAACAACAAACAAAAAGTTAAAACACTATATGGCCGAGTCAAAACACTATACAAAAAGATTAAAAAGTAAAAAACAATACACTAATCAAAATATAACTTCAAGTTGCTTCATTGAGGTTTTTCTCTGGACACCTTCCACGATTTTGGCCGACTTTGGAACACCTACTACATTTACGAATTTGGCGAGGTTTAGTAGTAGTTGATTTTTTTCGAGCCTCACCTGCCGATTTTTTCCTTTCGAATGTAGGTCCGCCGCTTGGACGTCGTGATGGTGGGGGCAACACAATTCTTGACATAATTTCTTCTGGAACCATCCAATCGGTTTCATTGGGCAAAGGGTGAATGAGTTCAGAGTATGTCTCTCTCCAAGCAGAGCTCGAATACATTAAAGTGCAGAAATTGTAGCCGTTGTTATTCAAATTTTTTATTGCGGCAATGGCATGCGAACATGGAAAATGATCCATTTGAAATTTTCGACATGAGCATGACATTTGGTCAAGATCAACGACATGTCTTTCACCAACTTGCAAAATCATTGTTGTTACATGCAACACTTGTAGTCCGTGGAACCACTTTTGCAGTGTCGCCCTGATATGTTCAATTAGGCCAAGGATAAGAAATTCTCGAGCACGCTTCAACACAGAGTTCAACGATTCAGCATTGTTTGTTGTCATTATGTTGAAACGAGTTGCTCTAAAATGTGCTCTGGCCCAACGGGGCAAATTAACTTTCTCTAGGTATGTCCGCATTTGCTGATTATTATTGCATAATGCTGCCGGCATAATGCTGCCATGTTGGATTCGAAATCAGGTATCATGCATGTTTCGGTTGTTGCCCAAAAGAATGCATCCAATTTCAACCTTGGAAACTCAGATTTTAAGTTTCTCAGCAAGTGATAGTTACACCATCCATGGTGTGCATGTTCAAACACTGTATTAAAAGCACCAAGAATACTTGTTCCCCTATCCGAAACTATAACAAGATCGGGAGAATCACCTGTTATATCTTTCAACTTTTCAAAGAAGAAAGTCCAAGAAAGATCGTTCTCGGAGTCTACTATTACCCAAGCAAGTGGATAAATTTGAAGATTTGCATCCTGACATGTTGCAATGAGCAAAGTACCACGATATCTCCCGGTCAAGAATGTACCATCCACAGATATTACTCTTCTGATGGAAGAGCGGAATCCACGAATGCACGGTCCCAAAACCATGAAAAAATATTTAAAATGGCCATCCACACCTGTCTCGATGAAAGTGACCGTCCCAGGGTTTTTTTGCTCCAAAACGTAACAATATTGGGGGAGCTTTACGTAACTTTCTTCTGGGCAACCTCGAATGAGACCAAATCCATAATGCTTTGCCATAAATACTTTTGTATAGCTGATAGTTATCCCGAACTTCTCTTGGACATAAAAAATAATATCATTCGGTTTATAA